TACAAAATGCAACCTATCTCCACCATTAATATATATCTCATTGAAAACACTATGGTGACAGCAAAACTGTTTTTTTTTAGATAAACTACTGATACCAATTTAAATAAATCCAACTTGTTTTTTGTGGATGTTGAAGGAAAGCAAATTTAGGAACACACTAATTTACTTACATCTCTTTCCTTTGTAAACACTTTCTAAATAGTTTCTCTGTGTCTATTCATTTCTAAGGCTGATTAAATCCAAGTGCAATAGTTCACAAAAACAGATGCTACTTGACCAAGATTTCTACTCTGTGTGCAAAAGAATCAGGAGAAAGCAGCTCAGGTTTTGCTAATATTTAACTTCTTGCTTTTTTTTTTCTTTTTCTGGGTAAAGCTGTGGATGTCATTTAGTTGATAATTGGAATTACTGTAAAATCCTGTTAGTTGCCCTATTCTTATCCAACACTGTGTCAGGTAACATGGTACCAGTATTCTTCAAGAAAGGATCAATGATATAAAGGTACTTTGCTGCTGCAGGGAGAAAACAGAGACAATTAGACATGTAGAAAAATCACTATATATATATATATACACATATATATGTGTGTGTGTGTGTGTGTGTGTACTCCAATATCTGCAATCTCTGTTTACACTGGTTGACCACATCTCTTGTAAGCACAAATTTCTCTCTTGCTTCACATATACAGAAATATATCAGCACGAGAGTCTCTTCTCGTTTTACTTTGCAATTCAGGAATGCCTTATTATTCAACGTAAGATGCATTCATTGAACTGGATTAATCCTGCATAAGTAATTTTGAAAYTTCCTGCTGAAGTTATTTTTCATTTCTGGGAACAAATCATTTATTTGGATTTTCATATATCAGGATCACAGAGATTTGCCACAGTCAGATTTTAATTTTAGTTACATCTGAGCTGGCTTATATATTAGGGCACATAGTTTTGCATGAGAGCATCTTCTAAAATCTGTAATTGGTGTGGAACACTGACATGCACAGAATACATCTGACAAGGTCCAGAGAGTTGGGTTCAGTCTCGCTGATCAGCATCTATGCTGCAGATTAACTGAATCTTTCATGGCATTACAAGCCCCCTAGAATTCATTAGTGCACTTTTGCTTTCCTGCTCTCCAGCCTGACCTTATCCAGAGCTGCCGTTGCTCCTTTTCAGCTGAATTTTAGCGGTGGGAACACAGATTCTATCCTGCTGAAATGAGCAGGTCTCTGCCAGGCTGCTCATGGGGGCCGATGTGGGCAACTATGGGCCCACCAGCCCTAGCAGCCCCTTGCTTGTGATTTCTATCATCGCCTTTGTCTGCCCTGGGAAAGCTCCATTTAAATAGGAGGCTGGAAAAAAGGCCTGTGCTTTAAAAGTGAGAGAAATATAGCATCTTATTGGCGGGTATTTGTAATATAAAGAGGTACATGCAGTGAGGTTTGGTGTGGCTTTTTCTTATAAATTGGCTCACAAGTGTAGATGGATGCAGAAAGTCAGTGAATTCGGAGCGGGAAGGAGGACACAGATGCGAAGGAAAAGCTCCCAAACCGTGYCAGCTCTTAGGAGCTGCTGCAAAGTTCCTTTGGAGACAGTGCTTTAATCATGGTTAAAAGCACAAGTCCCAAAGAGCAAGCTGAGCCCTGCTTAAGGCACACATATAAGCCATGAGTTAGCAGCAATCTGCCCTTCTCAGGCTTCTTGCCTGGTGGGTGGGAACAGGGCTCAGAGCCCGGGGCAGGGAAATAGCCCCATTCACTGCCTCATGCCTTGTTCTGTGTCCGAGCCACAACAAGGACTTGGGGGAGAGCTAGTCATACTGAGGAGGAAGAAAAGATGAATATTCAGCAGGAGAAAAAGGAAAACAGAGAAATGTCAGAGGCTTCTGACTCCCAGCCGGGCCRGGGCTGGGATGCAGACCTGGCTTCCCGATGGACATGGATGCCAGTGACAGTTCCTCCCCTTGGAGGACGGTGCCCGTCTCATTCCATTGCTCACGGCCTTGTGCTCCTCCACAGTCCATGGGCTGGAAGTTTGAACTCTGCAGGTCCAAAACACCCCACAGATTTAGCCCCTCACCCTTGCCAGCTGCAACATCTAAATGCATTCACTGAGGAAAACAGCAGAGGCACCGCCACGTAATGTTTATCTAGTTCAATGTTCTTGTTCTCTATTCCCTTCTCTCTTGTTTCTCTCCTGTTCTGTACATCATCTCCGCTGTCTTTGCTCTCCTGGGTTGTTCTGATGAATATTTCTGAGAAACCATCCCTGCCTTCCTCACCGTTTCAAACCTCCCTGTCTCTCCAAGCCGCACACCCATTCTCTCCTCTCCAAATCTTGACTTCTGTTTTTCCCATTTCCCTGTCCCCCCCACCCATTTCCTTATGTATTTCTCCARCTTCATTCCCATCCTTTCTAAATCTCTCTGGTGATCCCAGCTCTCCCCAAGTTTTCCTTTTTCTCCCCTGTTGCTTTTAAACGTAGGTATGAATCTCTCTTCTTCCCTTTCCATTGTGACCCGAATCAAACGTCCTGCAAAACCAGCCCCATCCAGCCAGGTATCCTCCCGTCCTCCCCTTCCTGGCCCGCGTTTCCCCTCCCTTGCAGCAGCTTTGGCAGTCGCTCCCCTCTCTGAAACAGGCTCCCCTTCCACAGCCGGCCACGCGCAGCCATCAAAGAACAGGGCACACGGCTACGGGATAAAAAACTTCCAAAGAATTTAATGTAGATAGTATTTATACATACACTTTGTAAGTAGGAATATGGCAGACAGCTGAATTAGTACATAAAGTTTTATTTAAAGTTTCCCCCCTACAGGCAAGCTTCATTTACACAGTCTAGTACTGTACAAAATTTACATTCTGTGTGTGACGTGTTCAGTTAGCACTTTCCTTGGTCATGCCTTCCTGAAAGATAGAAAGATTTACATACAGTCCTCATAAATCTTTTAAGTTATCTTGGTAAAAAAAGAGCCACTTTAAAGGACAACAAATATCCTTTACAAATGGTACACTTTAGTAGAGACAGGTGACAGTCAGTGTTTAATGGCAGACCTTATGCTGATCTTAAATGTCATTCAAGGTTTCCTCATTTAGTACCTTAACAGTTTCCTTTTTATATATATTTATATTTATATACTTTCAACAGGAAAGGAAAAAAAAAAAAGGTCATGATTGCACCAAGTATATTTTACAAGGGATCCCTTGGATCTGAACAATATAAATAAATACAAAATCAACTAAGATTGCACTATATAGTAGAAATGGACTGAGATTTCGGGATATACACTCCACCTTTATGAGTTCCTTAGTGATGCTCACTGGAAAACTCCCCAACGGCACACTCCAATATTAGCATCTTCAGATAATTATTTTGTTTAAACAATTTTTTTCCGGGCGTGCAGCTACCTCATCAATTGGTTTATTGCATTTGTATGGTATCAGTCTTTACTGCATTGCTCCAATTTTACAACTGTGTAATTCTGCTGCAAGCAAGGGAGTTGCACTGCGATAAAACTGGCCTCGTGCCAGAGAGAAACAGCCCCGTGGTATTTGCTCTCCATTATTTATATTGCTCTCAAGCTTCAATATATAGTGTAATTTCGGAGTACATTTGTCCTCTTCCTATTTTGCAAAGCAAATAATGAATTCTTCCTCCCATCTATAGCCTCTGCAGCAGAAACCAACCTACGGGGGTTGGCTGCTTCTTGCTTAATGCGCTGGCATTGAGGCCTGTCACGAAGGGCACTCACAGCTGTGGAAACGCAGGATCTGAGTCTTCTTGTCTGCTGCAGCCAGTTACAACTAGGGGAATTAAAGGCCAGAGTCTGAGCTGACATAACSCACAGCACATCCAGTGGCTTCCCTGGAGCAATGGCATTTGGAACCAGTGAAGAAGACAGCCCTGAGGGTGAGGGATGCAAAACACCAGTAAATCACAATGGAGGAATTTTACATACGCGGTGCTGAGGTGCTTGTTAGCAGGCCCACACTTTGTCTTTGCTCCTGCAAAGGCAGGTCAGAAAGGGGTGAGCTTGCAGCATGGGTAGCCTGATTTGTGCGCACAGCTGTGGGCTCATAGAGTGGCTCCTAAACGCTCCTGGTCCCCTGTGGTGGCACTCTGAACTTGCTTGGCAATGTGTAAATAATTACACAAGCTGTAAGGCAGTGTCAGTCTAGCTGCACATTGCTTTGGATCAACAGCACAAAACTTTTAGAATATCTTTTAAGTTCACTCAAAAGATTTTAACTGCTTCCCAGTGTCTCTTCAGTGTTGAGCACAACGCTTTAAGAGCCCAAAGTAATACATCTAAATTCAGCATTCTTGTCTTTGGAAGCAAATAGCAGCTAAGTTCATATCTAACAGGCGGGTGAAAACAAATGTGAGTTCTGGCACTTTGTTAAGGGGTCATGGAAATAACTTCCTTACAAAACCAGACTTGAAGGTTTAAGAGAGAAATTCTGTTATGCTAATTTAAAAATAATCATTCCATGTTGTTTCAGTGAAGGGACTCTGAATTTACACCAGCGTGATTAAGAGAAGAATTTGATCCTAATCCCTGAAATGCTGTTGCAAGAAGTGCTCTGTAAAGCATGGCTTTCATTGCAGTCTGCGTTCTGCTACACTTACACATGGGGACTTTGAAGGCAGAGAGGATCAGAAGCCACGCTGTGCCAAAACCCAATGATACCTCTTTACCTTTAATGATCTTCTGATGCTGTGTTGCTTGCAGAGCATGTGAAGTAGCTGTAGGTTAGGATTACAGAGGAGGAGACAATTCTGCAGTGCAGTGTGAGCTTTTCACTATCTCAATTCTGAAGCGTTCATGAAAACAACATCCTCATGACTTCAACACAGACCACATGCAGGTAGATACAATGCACAATACTGATCTTGGCTYTTCAGGCTGCATTTGAACATTTAGCCTTCATTTTTTTTTTTAAGATAATTTTGATGTGAGGAATATCTCTGCAGCAGGAAAATGTTAAAATTAGTCTGAAATGGCAGTCTGTCAGCATGTAAAGTTCGGTGCGTTTTGGCTACTTGCTTCATCAGACACCGGCATCTATCTGAGATGGGGCAACACTTTGCTTTTTGTTCTCTTTTTCTTTGCTCCTAAAGCATAAACATGGAATAAGGGTCCATTATGTATGTCTGTTTTCAGCAGGAAGTCCGTTCTATTAAAATATTTAGGTCACCCGTCACTATTTTCCCCAAGGCGGCGCGTGTTCGTGTCGGTGCATGAGGTGTCCCTGAGTGTCACTTGTTGTAGGGCACGCAGGCTGGCAGGATGACAGTGGAGCAGGCAGGGCCCGCCAGCGGCTCGGCCACGTCCCCTTCCAGTTCTGTCCAAGTGCCCTTCTCGGGACTGTAGCAAATTGTAGAAGATTTGTAGGCCCCCTGCAACAGAGAGCAAAAAGTCATATTGAAACAGGGCTGGAGCTGAATCCACGTGACACATCAGCTTTAAAGATGAAAAGCTATTTAAAAAAAAAAAAAACAAAAAAAACCCCAAGGATTTGGGGCTTCAGTTTAAGAACTAGTTTAAGAACCCGTACACTGACTTTCTTCTCAAATAGGCTGAGGGTCCAGCCTTTGCAAACCAGTCTGCTTTACAAGCACCTTGTAAGCAGAGCTACAGGCTTCCAGCCTCATCAACCACTCTTGCCAACACATTTATACATCCTATCAGAGAACACAACCTGAAAATAACTTATCTAAAGAGAAAAACTCAAAGCTGAAAACATATTGCACATTCTCAGAACAGGTAGCTTCTCCCTCCCCTCCTCTCTTGTGTAAGGTAGGCGCTGCCTCGGGAGCTCGGAGGAACGCCCGGGGSGCTGGCAGAGAGCAGGCACTTACCATGCTCCAGCTGTAGCCTCCCACAAGGTAAATACTGTCATCCAGAACTGCACAGCCGGGGCCACTGCGGCCCTCCAGGATGGGAGTCTGAAGAATATTCCACTGGTCACCTTTTGGATCATAGCATTCCACGAGCATGACATCAAGATGGGAGAAACCTGGAGGAAAAGGTGGAGAAAAGACAAATCTGTATTAGAACCACACTTTATTTTTTTAGTTGCATTCTTAGATTTATGAATGTACAATGAAAATTACATTGCTACAATTACAGCATTACTGTTAAACTTTCCTTAGAAAATGTTCCATCTATGTTTAAGCTATCTCCTGGGACGTTCATCATTATTTCAGTTCAAATCTGTTAAACCATTTACTATCAGCTCTACAGGTGTTCTACAAACCCCAGAACCTGACCAGATCAGAAAGAATCACTCAGTGACAACACAGCAATGCTAAAAGGAGACGCAGGGAATATTTCTCCTTACCCATCCATGCTAGTGCCAGTTTGAATATGTAGGGAAAAACTGGTCTGGCAACCTTCTTTGAAGGACAGATCTAACCTACTCAGAAATTACCAGCTTGAATTTCACCAAGCAACCAGTGACTAGCAACCAAGGAAGAGTGAAGACAGCTGATGCCATCTTYAGCATCAGAGGGTTTCAGAGGGACAGGGAGCTGCAAGAAAGCTGTGACATTCAGCACCTGTCTCAATTTCCAAGCTGATTTAAAGGGTAACCTAAGCATGYGGTAGTGATGTGACAGCCATCTAGGTGACCCAAAATGTAACCAGAAGAATGTCTGTCCTGTCCTTCCTGGCTGAGGTGGAAGAATGGCTCCAAGCAGCCACTGCCTTGCAAGGGGCAGACGGGTTGCAAGCCTCTCAGGCCGTGAGGTTTAATAGCAAGTAGATGACTTGAACACAAGAGCAGAACCCAGGAGTACTGGTTCCTGTTCCACTGTTTAGGCATTGCTTCATCTCAAACAAAATTTTGTGAAAGCACCACAGTAAAGCTCTGACTTTTTTAATATGCCAGGATGCTTTATTTGGCATTCCTTTCTTCTCCATCAAGGGACAACTCGAGGAAGAAGGTAAGTTTCATTTTTTGGAGAAAGACTATGGTACTTCCCAATGACTGTGTTTATAATATGTTATATCAAGAATGAAAAGTTGTGATGAAAAGTTTTGTGTGTAAAGTTCTCAATGGGCCATTGCTGCTTGCCCAAAATCTGCCAGAAAGCTCTCCAATAACCACCAGACACATGTGATCAGTGTGAAGAGGGAAATGTTAAAAAAAAAGGAAAAATCTGAGCATAAACTGTCAGTATAAACTGACAAATATCATCGGGGCAAAGGAGCAGGAATTCTGCATTTTKTCTGAACCAACTGCATTAAGCAGAATCTCTTTAGCAGCAATAGCAATGGCATGGAAGTATTAAGAATTCCAGATGCCTAAGTAGTAGTAATTTTAAAACAAGAGCTTTTCAAAAGGCAAAAGCAGGAGCCCTCTAAAAGAAATCAAAAAAAACAAAAAAAAAAAAAAGGGAATTAACAAGCTACGTTTAATACAAAAAAAAAGAGATCTGAAGTTTCTAGTCCTAATATTTAATGGCTATTTTTTTTATTTTATTTAAACAAGAGCTTGTTGTTGTGTGCTGCTCTGAATAAAGCTCTCTCTAACTGCACACTTTGGGAAATGATTTACAGAGGAAAATATTGCTGGTACTTTCGGGTCAAAGAATAATCTGTTTGTTTCATTGAATTCTTGGTAATGACAAATTGTCCATGCCTTTGAGTAATGGAAGCTCCCATTTTTATTATCTAAAGCATTCATTACTCATATATTTAATGTACTGTTATAATTTTAAAATAATTTGCATAAAATGTTTTCAAAATTGCTGGCGCAAGTGTCCTGTTAAATTGTGTTGCCTGCTTTTTAGCGTATTTAACAAAGACCGCCTAACAAAAATGTTCTTTATCTGGCACGGGGGGGCCCTGAAACGCTTGTGTGCTCTTAAAAATGTGACCTTTCAAGTGGTTGCCTCCAATCGCATACAGCCGGTCATTCATGACAGCCAAGGTGTGGATTGCTCGCTTGGTGTTCATGTCCTGTTTGCGGGCCCAGACGTCCATCACGGGGTCGTAGCAGTASAGCCAGGGCACATACTCTCCGTTGTGAACGCCGCCTGCGGAACCAACACACCTCGCTTCAGTAATGCAAACACAGGGCACCTTTCTTAACACAAACACAGGCATCCGTTGCCTCGCGGCAAGCCTTGAGCCATGTTTCGGGGTGGAGAAGGCACTTGCCTGAAATGTAAATCTTGCCGTTGTGAACGGCCCCTGCGTGGGCGGCCAGCGGCTGCGGCAGGGAGGACACGTAGCGCCACTCGTTGCTCTCCAGGTTGTAGCACTCCACGCTGGACAGGTAGCCGGACTCGTTCCTCCCGCCGATCACGTAGAGGTTCTTGTCGAGGCGGCAGGCGTAGAAACTGGCCCTCCTGGAGCGCAGCACGGGGCAAAAGGGAAGAGGGCACCGGCGAGGCAATGAGCGGAGCCCGGCGTTCGGGGTTTGTCCCCCTGCCTCCCGGCACTGCCAGAGCGGCCGCTTCAAACCCTCACAAGCGCCCGGGGATTCCCAGGCACGGAGCTGCGCTCACGACTACAGGGGCCTTGCTCATCAAGGACTCAAGTACATGCTCTCTTTCAAATGCATACTTTATTTTTGGTATCAAACAATTAAGCACACATAAATCTGGCAGAAAACAGACCTCTTTCCCAAACTGTTTGTTGCTTTTGCACGCCCGTGGAAGATAAAAAGGTGCTCACTAATGTTTGGGGCATTACCTTGTAAGGGAGATAACAACTCAGTAAGACAAAGTGAAAAATGAGGTAGATAATGTAACAATAATAAATTATCTTGACATTCACTTTCTTTATGGTCCTTCAAGGGTCATTGTTCCCAATTTACTAAGAGAACCACATCATCAAAATTTTTCTTCAATTATCATTTTTTTTTCTTTCTGCAGTACTGCAAATAGAACAACTTTCCTTAAGCTAGGCACAAGATTACATTTCCGCCCATTAAATCAAAAGGGGCCCTCTCCATTCAACTGATTTTGAACAAAGTTTCAACCACCTGTCTGATTCCACATGCACCTCATGCAGGCAGGGAACTAATTATATTTTATGCTCAGGACTGCCGGACTTGTATTAGTTTATCTTCCTTGTGCCTCCAAAATTAACAGTACGTGCYCGTTACTGAAGTAAAAATAGAAGAGCAGACCATTTTGAAACACACTGGGGTAGGTAGGGTTGTCTTCTTTAGCCAGCTGTTTTCACAGAATTGTTGGTAATTTAACCTTTTGGGGAACTTCACTCTTTCTTAAACGTGCCTGAAATGGCGGATGGTCTCAGGCCGGGGGAGGGCCGCACATGTACGGCCATGGAAAGAGGCCATGTGCTCGGGTGTGTGGGGAGGACGTGGAGCCCCACGGGCTATGTGGGCCTCACTCAATAGTTTGGGTGTCTCTGAGGGGGYTCATGCTGGTGAGGAGCTGCCTTATGGGCACCCGGCCTTGCCTGCACACGGGCAGCGCGGATGCTGAGGCTGGCTCCCCTCGCTGCAAGGTCTCCACAGTGGCACACACAGGCCGGGGGGATGAAGCCATGGAAAGGAAAAGACCATAAAGAGTGGGGCAAGGAAGCTGCTAAGTGTCTCCAGYTAAACTGATGGATTAAATAGGACCATTTACTTTATCTGTCAATGGGCAGATAGAGGCATATATTGCCCCGCATGGTCAAGCGGYAAATTGGGCATCTATGTTTTTATCCTGATTTTCTATGGAAACAAAGAGTACATGATCACCCCATATGGGTATCTACGCCTGCCCGGGGGCTGTCTCCACAAGAGTCTGCCAGCAGGTTTCACTCTCGTTCAGCAGCATTTGTAGGTGTTAGAGAAAACTGGGATCCTAAGGCTTCCAGAGAGGAAGCCACAGGCCAGACACAGCGGTGAGGGCAAAGGGAAGCACAGCCSCAGAGCCTGCACCTGACCACACGCCGCAGAGCTTCAGCTGGGGCTCAGGCTGCTCTGGTGAAACGTGCATCAGACTGCGTTTGCAAAACCAGACTCGCTTTGATAATAAGAAATATGTACAAAACATGTACACTCATCTACACAAATATCAGATTCTCTATCTCCTTTCCTGTTTTTTTTTTTTTTTTTTCCATTTCAAGTCTGATGGAGCCAGGTGCAACTGGCAGGCATTACTACTTTAACAAGGGTTTTGTTAACCTTACTCTGTGCATGTACTCCTGGTTTCATCCACACAGTGTCACTCTAAGGAGCAAAAAATGAAAGCATCAGCAAGCTTCACTCTTCTGCGTGAGTGTGAGGATCCCCCCAGCAGCTCCTGCCAYGAAGATTTTAAGGTGTGGGGTTTTGTTTTTACTTTTTGATGATGCACAGTGCAAGAGGAACACTGTTAAGCAATGGCTCTCAAATATGATCCAGGTTGAAAACTAATATAGTTATCTTAGCACTGCAGCCTTTTATTCATAAAACTGGGAAGAGACTGACCATTTTAACAAGATAACTGGAATATACCTTGGGATGCGAGTATGGACCTTTGGACAGCTATTTTGTAATTTTGTAATTTTGTAATTTTCTCCAGTATTTGATATATATCCACCTCTAAAACGCACTTCCTTCATCCCCCCTCACTCAATAAAAAATCCAACAACCTTTTTCTCTTAAGTACCCATAAAGAGGAAACATTTCTAACATTTCTTTCTGATTCTCAGAAACAATGAATTGATGCCCTGAATCAGGAAGATTTAAAGCTACCAGAGTTATTACAGATCACCCCAACACCTAGGCTTATTTCAGGGTCAAGGCCTTATTTCAGAGAGTATGTTTTGCTGTTTTAAAAGTACAATCATTTTAATWAACGATAATGCTCTTAATAAAGCCAGAGACTAAGAAAAAGTGTGAAACTTTTGTGTGAAAAGAGTTTTATCTCTTTTTCTTCTCAGAAATCTCTTCCCATTTCACTCAGCTTCAGTAAGACAGCAGCCTGTTTCCACTTGCGTTTCCTCATGCCCTGGTACAGTGCAGTATTTTTGCTGACTGCAGATAAAACCTTTTCAACTGGAATGTACAAAAGAGTAAAGTGTTGTAGCTACTGTAAAACTCCATATACYGGGGCTGTCCTAGGTTGATGGGCCCTCTGGTTCCAGCAGTAGGGCTGCACTGTGGCTCTTGGCTGCAGTTAACTGACCTGCTTTCCACGAAACATCCCACTTGACTATTGTCAAGCAGACAGGTATTTTAATAGCTAATGCAGCACTTGGCTTCTCTAAACAGCATGCAACTGAAAATGCCCCATACTTTTGAGAAGCAAGTCTTTTTGAGATATTCTTCAAATTAAAAGAGCCCAAACTTGGCTTGAAACAAAAACACGCTGATGGTTCTGAATCTGTAACAGAATTAGACATTTCTTYATAGCTTGTACAGTGAAATCAATCTGATACAGATTTTATGATCTGGGATAAAACTTTACCCATCACCTATTTCATACAGATTTTTACCTTGAGAATATACTGCCTGTGCATGAGCCCCATGTTTACCTAGCAGCCATTCCCAAGCAGCTGTGACAGTCCCTCCAGCCAGCTATTCTCACACCTAAATTCCTAAGCAGGTTTGGACTTGACAGACCATAATGACGTGGAAGAAACCGTTAAGCTCTCCCGCTTGTCAATGGTGCTGGCATCACACCCTCACACACAGGGCATCCCCCTGGGCTCCTGTGGGGACAATACTGACTGTGATGGGAATGTTGTCTGAGTACGGGAATGGGGATTACGAAAAAACTGTCTCCTGTTTGCAATACTTTAAGGGGTGAGAAAATTCACCATTCAAGCTATTTTACAAAATTAGTTAGAAATCCTTGTTTTCCAGCTTGTTTTCCAGCTTATGCTTAGGAGCCTTTCAAAGAAAATAATGGGCAAGCCTCTGAATTACATAACCTGAACATGAACACAGGAGGTGACAAATAACGCTGCCATATGAAAGCCCCAGCCAAAGGGACCATGTATGAGTGGACCATTACATTTGAATAAAACTGTGAAGTGCTGGGGTGCTAAATACATCGTGGTTTGGGTGACAAGCACCACAGCGGGGACTGCACATGGACACAGGTCRGTCACACTGAATTCTGGGCAGGGGCCCCTCAAAAGCTCCACACACATTTTAGCCCAGAAGTTTGCTGAGACAGCCCTATTTCCATGCATTTCCAGGACATACACACCTGAACCACATGGCTGTCTCAAGCTCAGTGTGTTTACAACTGCCAGACATTGAGGATGGCAAACAGAAAAAGAGTCAAAATACTGTCAGCCTGTGGAATATGGAGAATATCTTAGGAAGGTGGGGTGAGACAGCTTGTACATAAGATCCATGACAAGATGGATGTTGTTGAACTGAAGGCTGGACAACTCTTTGAATGTTTTTTTCCTAAAACGTCGTAACTTTGCATTGCCTGCCCTTTTATGAAGAAACATGTATCATTCAGTTAAGGTTTGGGGGGCTTTTTTCCCTGTCAGGGTAGCAACTGGAATCAGAGGTGACTTTTACAGGTCGCTGCTCAAGTTCACCTGCCGCTCTGCTCTTCAGTACCTAGTAAGATTAAAATGCAAGTTACTCTAATATGCCCTGGCTGACAGCAACTTCAGCCAAAGACCTCCTAGGATCAAGAGTCCTCTGACAGGGTCAGTCAGGTTGAGGACAGCTTCTTGTGGCTGGTGCAGTGGAACACGATGGGGTCAACGTGTGAAGGTTTCTGCTCTGCATAAGATATCTGGCTATAATTATGCTTGTTTACTGCTAACTCATCCTGACATTTCAGTCAGGGAGTATGACAGGACGCTACAGGGACTTCAAAAAAACCCTTCAGATCATACTCAGGCAACCAGTAATTGCACAAAGTCCCTGGCTATTTTGCATCAGTTAGCACCACAGGATTTGGCATCTGGACTTGTGAATTTGGAATACTTAAAAAAAAAAATCAGGAGACAAAGGAGAAGCAACTGCACATTGCAGTTTAACCTCCATACTGCCAATGTTTCTGTAAGGCCTCCTTACCCCCAGAACTAAGCCAAGCTTCAGCTGCTCCTAGCATGATAAAAASACAAATGGAAAAACACATAGTAGGTTTTTACCTCTCTTGCATGGGTGGAAGTTGTATCCAGCTGTTAAACCTGGGATCGTATCGGCTAACAAAGTTTGTACTGTGTTTCCCTGTAAAGATAGATTATTTTGACACTCAGCTGTTTGTTTCATGTATTTAACATCATGATTGTAATATATATTACATGTACTTCACAAGTTGACAGCTTTTATGAAGGGTTCTCCCTTTTAAAACAGTGTATTAATTTCACTATGGGTACAGTAATAATTCAACAAACAGGGCACTACAAGGGTTGAATTAGCAATTGTTAGCAGTAGTAGTAGAAATTATTCTTGCTCTTTGTAATAAGACCTTGAAAATGCGTATTTAGCCGTCGTTATAGATGCTGTGGTACTTGCACAGCCACAATAAATCACATCACTAAAGAAAATTACTGCCCAAAAGAGGGCATTCCTGTGGTATTGCTACGATGAGACTATTTTGTTTCAGGAAAAAAAAAATCCTAAGGAGAATATGTGTTTTTCCTTCTCCTCACTTCATGCCTATGTGCAACACGGTGAAAAATATTGCGCAAATAACCAGGAGCTGCATAAGCCATCAGCATGGGGCAGGCAGTCTTTGCACTAGGTGGTTTATTCTACCATCTACTTTCAGTGTAAGTTCAGAGGAATTACACATGTGCATCGAAGGGGGAATATACTCTTAGGGTTTTATTCCAAGTGTGCTAGCTAAAATAGAAACATGAGCAACATACACCAGCTAACTAGCTTATTCCTGCTGTCAAGCCCAAGAATTGTATTCATGTCTTCACGATATTAAGATTTCACCTTATTTTACATGCAGATTGACATCAAAGCAAGAAAACCGAAGCAAGAGAGTGCATGGCAATTGCTTGTGACACCTGAGACTTCAACAGACAAGGATTTTGGAAAAAAAAGAAACCTTTGTTTATGTATCTATGACTAAAAAATTGAATTAGAGGCTTCAGAGGACAGCAGAATAACCCAACTGCAGATGTCACAGTTATATAAATGGTCACTGAGTATCCTACAAGGTGAATATTTTTGCACGGGAAAAGCTCCTGTGGGTCTGGCTCTCTTTCCTTGTTTCTTTCTACACATATTTCAGCCTACGTAAATAAACTATTAAGATTGTAAAGAAGAGTCATGATGCAGTTAAAATTTGTATTTATAATAACCTTAGCTCATGTTCTACAAGGAAATATAGAAAGTATGCTKACCTCTCCTTCTTGAAGCTAACTCATTCTCTTTCTGTTAAGAGCATGTTCCATATGAGAAGAGGAAAGCAGATGACTGATGAATAATGCAGCACTTCCCTTCAAATCCAGCATGGTGCCTAATGAAGACCAAGGGCCCAGCATGCTGAGCACTACTCAGATGCATCTCATAGGGGGAGATTCCCATACACTAAGGGCAAGTGGTAATTTTGCCATCAAGTTCAGTGAAGCCAGACTTTGTTACTGGTCCCTATCTGAATTCTCTTAGTCTAAAAAGAGATTTTAAAATAATCTATGTATTGAGAGCTATAGATTAAATAAGCAGCAAAAGCAATGAGATCTGGAGCTAGTCAGGACACTGCTTTGGACATTTATTAAACTATTTCTATTACAAAGAAAAAGTACAAAAGAAAGTAAGTACATATCATAAGTTTGGACTTCTGCTAGAAGGATCTAATGCAGTGTGAGTTACTACATCCTTCAGAGTTACGTTTGACTACAGTGGTTATTGGTTACATAGCAGCTCAATTGCTGTCATRCAAACTTCATATCCTGGACAAGTGCTAAGCATGTGGAGGATTGTATTGCTCACAATGGCAGGCACTTCTAGTAAAGAAAAAAAAAAAAAAGAAAGTTTTGATGAGTCTAAAGTGGGAATACAGGATATAAATCTGATCACTTGAGGGGAAGTAAGATGCAACCAAAGTAGGTGAGGCAGAGATGCACCTCTGTGATGACAGGAGTAGGAGAAGACTAAAGAACCTGGCTTGTTGTATGCAGCAAAACAGAAGCTGAAAGRAGATGGGAATGGTGTCTGTAACACATCAGAGGAGCATATCTCCAGGAGGGGAAAGCTATTAAGCTAAAGGCCAACTTTTGCATGACAACGAGGTGATTTAGACAGCCAAAGAATACATTTAGACTGGAAATTAGAATAGAGCTCCTAGTCATTTAGAGCCATTGGTTCTGTAACAGCTTTCCAATAGGAGTAGTAAGGGGGACTATGCAATGGCTGTGAGAAGGCCTTGATGACCTATTTAAGCTGCCTGGTATAACTGTTTTCATTCCAAGTTAATTTTGGCATTCAGTTTGAGAGACAACTGTACCTATTATTTTGCCTTGCTTGGCACACACCAGGAAACACTTGTCAACACCTAGAAACTGAGAGGAATGAACAGAAATCAGGGCTAGTAAGCGAAGAGGATGGGAGGAAATAAGGCCTCTCTGCAGGAAGGTCTCTGTCCCTATGACAAAAGTTGAGGGCTCTGCAGGTTACATACATAGGGTGTTCCTAAATCCACACTAGAGCTCTGCAAGTTGCTTTCTGAGGGTTCACTTGTATAGGGATCCCTTGGGACYGGAAATGCAGCCCAAAGGGCATAGAGGCGCTCCCCATGATTGACAGACTGCCTCAAGATCTGCAAGTCATAGAATCATAGAATGTTTAAGGTTGGAAGGGAYCTCAGAGGTCATCTAGTCCAAWCCYCCTGCWCAYGCAGGGTCACCCAGARCACRTGGCACAGGGCTGCCTCCAAGMGGGTTTTAAAGATCTCCAKAGAAGGAGACTTCACAATCTCTCTGTGCAGTCTGTTCCAGGGCTCTGTCACCCTCACTGTTAAGAAATGTTTYCTTAAGTTCCYGTGGAACTTCYGATGCTTCAGTTTGTAGCCATTGCCTCTAGTCCTTTCGCTGGTCACCTTAGTGCAATGGCTAAGGAAGGGCACAGCAAGGCCTCACCTTCCCCATGTCAAAGGTACCTCCATCTGCTGTCACAGTATCAGCACATTCTCACACAAACTGAAATCTCCGCAATGCTCTGGCAGGACAGCTCCAGTTAGGTCCATTTGAAGTCCCTACTYTGCTATGAAAATAGCAGACAAGGACCTTTACATAAATGTAAACGTATATAAGTGAGTAGTCCCCAGCAGCAGCTGCCTATTTGGCTAGTCTAGCCTGAAGAAAGCACTAGACCACAAGAGCACAGGATGTAGCTGGTGATTTTCAAGTCCACTTTTTGCATGAAATGAGCAAGATTCATTTCTCTTGGGGTTCACTTGTACGAGACCGGTGTCAGTAGTGCTCCTACTCCTACTCTGCCTTTATTTTTTATAGACAAGTTGCAACTCTTCAGTGCTCACAGAACAAGAAGTTCTGCTATCCTTCCAGTGGCAATGTCTCCAGCTCAAGACTTGATCTAGATGGTCTTAAAAATTAAGGTACCATCCAGCTTATGAATCACCTTGCTATGACAGTTGTGTTCATCTCGTGTCTCAGACATGGGACACATATCCCTCCTTAAGTCTACGTGTTACTCTGTGACTCAGTTTCCACATCTCTATATTGTGGCTGATTGCACTTCTTTCCTTTCAGCCTTCATGTGACATAGCTATTTAATTTTAAACTGTCTGGAACAAGGCCTGCCTCTATTATCCATATGCCTGTCATCAAGCACAACAGGGGCCCTCGGTTATTGAATGTGGCTGATACTCCTAATAATAATTGTCATCGATGCTATCTCCTGCTTAGTATGAAACTCAACAATAGAGCTGAAAGGCTCTTCTCCTAAAACATGCAGTGATATTTTTTAACTACACCGGAAATATGCTTATGGGGTAGACTGGATTGTTTGTCTCCGATTTTAGGAAGTGAACAGATGTAACAATTTTCTATAATTTGGTTTAGTGCAGATGCTGAAATGGGGCACTCACAATAAAATATATGCAGTATATGTAATTTCAGCTGGATCCTCTGGTGTTTTAAAGTAAAAATGTGTACCTGCAAGCTGTTTTATGGTTTCTCAGTCATAATTATCTCTGTTACACAGACTGCTACAACTACAACTCTTTCTTTGTGTGCAAGCTTTTTAACAATGTCTTGACAATTTTGTGAATTTTGCAAGGCATGGTATTCTCCTTTYGCTTTGCTCAGAAGCCTGTTAAATTGTTTAATTTCTCTTTGCGGTAAATTTATGAAGTAATCAAATCAAAGAAGGTAGCAGCAGATAATCTATATGAGAAGCTCTTGCAAAAGGCTGAAAGAAGGACCAGTTTCAGAATCTCRGAGTCTAGATAATTAACACATTAACAACTTTAGCAGCGAGTATCTGGTTTGACAATAGAAAAGAAGCATTCATCTATTCATCTCCTGCAATTGCATTATTATATTATGACTGGAAGGAGACTGGAAATGAAGGTTAAAATTCTTAACAGCTGCTGCCTGGTGCATGCACTTGAAAGAGTCTGTTCTGCTGCCTGTGGCATTTCTCAGGGGACGCGGGAGCTGATGAATGACGGTGATGCTAATGCTAAAGTACCAGATATTTATTACATCACTATCTACACGTAGCCTTGACTAGTTCAGCGTTTAGGCTAAGGGTCCTCAACATCACTCGCTAATGACTCAGCAGCCAACCTGACAGACAGACCCAGAGCAGGGGATATTGCTCATGTTTTTAACATTACATACATACCGTTGGGGTTCCACTGGTCTTCCCCTCCCAACACGAACAAGAAGTTTTCCACTTCCACGACACAGTGATGGGCACTGTTATATGGCATAACTGCAAGCAGAACAAGAATTCGGTATCAGCTCGGGGCACTGATTTCATATTTTGTTTCCAAAGGTACAAAACACAAAACTGGAATTAAATCTGTAGGGAATATCAGGGAATGCATCACCCCAAGCGTGTTCAGTGAATTAACAGCAGACAAAGCCACTTATCAATCATTTCACATCATTCAATCTTGCAGATAGCTGAGGCAAAAACGCTGTAATTCTGCTCCTTCCACATCCATGCACCTGCCCAACTGCCCTATGTGCCCCTATGCTGCACCTGCCTCGAAAAGCAACGAATACAAAGGGGTGAAGTTGTCRGATATTTTCCTGAAAATAAAAAGCTGCTGGGAATCCTCGTACGCTCAGAAACATCAGCAAACCTCAGCCCAGCTTTGTTCCGTTGGTAATGTTTCACCAGAAGAGTCAGTGTGTGCAGTAGCTTTCTATTACACAGCAATGAGCAAGCTGCATTTCCATACAGTTTTAAGTTTTTAAATTAAGGTCCTGCTGATTTAATGCCTTTTCCAAATGTATACGCTTAATTTCCTGTACAATGTCATTAGCGGCACAATCACACATTTTCTATTCATCTAATCAGGAAGCCCTTTGTTAACAGAGATCAAAACTGTGGCATTGGGTTTGCAAAAGGCGTTTTTGGGGAGGTATTGGGATTGCTAAGGTCTAGCTACAGTCACAATAAACAATTTATTATTTAATTTACATGTCCATTGCAAGTACTAAAAGACACACACATGCAAAAACAAAAAAGCAGGGTGCATATATCCACAATGTGCTGCACCCTACAATACTACTGCAATATTAAATGGTAAATGTAGGTGCTGCCTTACTTATCATACCACATGCAGTAGTTTTGGCCCAGTGACACCAGTAGGAAAAATGATGTCCTTGTTCAGCTCATCATATGGGCACCTTAAATCTAGGTGAGGACAAATGGGGAGGTGATGTGCATGTACAGGCAGGGAACTTATTGCTTGACACGGATCAACAGAGCACTTAGGAAACCAGTGCAGTGGGAAATCAATATGACTCAGGGCCAGCTCTTACTTTGTGCTCTTTTGCCAATGCCAAAAAAAAAAAAAAGAAAAAGAAAAAAAAAGAGGCAGCCTATCTCACACTTGGATTATTTCGGGTGATATATCTCTCATTTCATTTGTTTTATTATCTTTTATTTTTCTCAAATGCGGTTGTGCAGTATAGCATATGCAAATAATAATAGGAAGAAATACGCACAGTTTTGTTATTTAGGACACATTTTYTTAAAGATCAAGTGGGCTCATTTAAGCTTCTTACCAAAGTTTTTGCCAAGGCAATGATGAATAAGTAAGGTATGTTTTTAGTTTTCAGTAAAGGTCGAATATCATTTTCATAGTCTATGCTCTTACGAGTTATATAAGCAAAGCAGTTCTTAAACTGGGCAGCTGGTTTCTGTAAAAATGCATTAATTAAGGTTATTTGTTACTGGTAAACTGTGTATAACTAGGAAGTAATGCTACACTAGGTGCTGCATAAGAATATATACCGCTCAAAGTAGGATGAAAGAATAAGAGATATTTTGATACCTTTTTTTACCCCCAATTCATATTTACTTCATTCTTTCATCTCTGTCATTTTCTCATTTTAAAATCTTTCTTGTTTCAGAACCCCAGCATTGTCCTTGATTTTGTGGATGCACTACGGAATGAACTTGGGTCTCCCACAGGGAATATCCAGTCTCCCTTAGACGCTTGCTGGGGTGCCCCTGACAAGAAAAGACCCATAGGAATCACTCTGCAGGCCGCTGATTTCTACCTGACCTACTGCTCTATTATGTTTTCAAATGATGTCCAAGCCGACGTTTGAACCCTTGGCCAAATTCCTCCTTTGGGCTACTGGAAGGGACACAGCATTTATCAAAAAGAACAGTGCACACATGCATATTTTTCTCATTTTGTGCTTTCATTTTTGCAAACACTTTTGTTTATTTATCCTCCATATTGATACAAACAGGGCCAGTAGAGGAAGAAATTATATTTTAAGCTTTTCTGCTATTCCCATGCATATAAACTATGCAGTAAGACTCCCACACTTATGATGATAATTAAACCTTGAAAACTAAGGGCTTAATCCGGGCTTCTACTTAACTTGATGGCAACATTCCCACTGATACGGGATTGGGCCCAAAAGACCTGAACTATCATCAGTAACTCATGGGAAAGCTAAAGGGAAGTTGGCCTGAGGAAGGAGAACATTATTTGGGAACCAGAAGGAAAGGAGACTGTGAGAATATGGTGCAGACCTTTATCATGGTCTTTGTTTCTTACAGAGCTTTGGGGCAAACGCTGTTGTCAGTGTCCTGAATTGCAGTCCCACCACCACCGAGGTGACATGGGGCCAAGCAAAACCAGGAGCGCAGAACAACACTTAGGATCCCCAAGGGAGTTTGGGCAGGGAAATCGTGCAGTTACCCCCACTGCTGCCTGCACCTAATCCCAAATTCTTTCTCCAATTCAGAACTGTGGGAATCCACAACATTTTTACATAAAACTGTAAAAGTGTTTTAACTGTAAAAATGGTTTACTATAAAACGTCCTTTGAAAGCAGAAGGAAACTTCTGCCATGCAACGTAACTCCTTAAGAACAGATGTCTGTAGAGGACCCAACTTTGGGGAGATACAGCCCACACCAAGCACCAGCAACTGTGCTAAATTCAGCTGCCAGCAGCAACAACCTTCCCAGCTCCCGGGGGCTGCCTGGCTGTCACAGGAAGAATTGGGACCCCTTGGCAGTCTGACCAAATGCCATTGACATTAATTTCACAGCAGCCTTTGTCTGCTATTTAGTTTTAAGAACATGAAACCACATCTTCTCATTTTTCAGATTTCAGCTCAGTGGAACACCTGCCTGCCCAGCAAGAAGGGTATTTGAAGAGAAGTTTGCACGCCGCGCTCAGCCACAGCCCGGTGTGAGTTTTTAGCGTGTCAGTCAGTGAGTTAGAGGGAAAGGGTAAGGAGAAGCTAATCAGGATGAAATGAGATTAAAGGCTGTCTAATTTTACAGCAACTGTGATCCATCAGCCACTGTGAAAGTGACAGTGGAAATGAATGATGGAGACAGACAGGTGGGGCTGTACATTTCACTGATTTATCCTCAAATGCACTGGGCCTTATTTTATTGAGTGAACATGACCGCATTTATCATGACTGTCATCTAAACCCACTTCCCTCCATTTAAAAAGGTCACTTTACTAGGAGGGAGTAGGATAGGGGCACTTTCAAAACAGATTTAAAATTTAATAACACATGTTTATAAAACCTTGCGCAAGAATTCCCAACTTTATTAAAGACTGGTTTAAAAGGAAGGAGAAAAGACTATTAAACAGAGGAAAAAGAGGGAAAAAAGTCACGGTTCTCTGAGAAACATGCTTAGCCACCAAGGTGATAGGTGCTCAAGCATTACTTGAGACAGACAGATACAAACCGATTGCATMGAGCAGGCAGAAATCACCTCTTCTAACCCCCTGCCTCCCCCACACACTTTCCAAGGCTCTGGAGGCCTAAGCTTAACAAACTTGTGCTCTTCTGGGCCGAGAGCAGACACAAGTGCAAGGAGCCCTAGAGAAGACAACCCTGCCACCAGGCCTCCTTCCTCTCCTGCAGTTCATTAGTGCTCTCTAGCAGACCCTCAGTTAAGGTGGAAGGCAATTTCTCAGAGAGAGGTACAAAACATGCAGAGCTTTTCAGGTCAAAACCATACATTTGATTTATACTTGAGAATAATCTGGAAGGTAGTGGAGCCAAGAGCATAGTGGTACTTGTTAAGATATACATCATTAAACCAAAAGTCAGTGAGGCTGTTGAACAGTGACATTCCTGGACGTTCTCCAGACATGGACACACATAGGAGACACAACAACACTCTGCATGTAAGGACAGTCCTCCGAGGCAAAACTCCTTGCATACCCAAACTGGGACCTGCTCTCAAATCGGGAGTCTCATAGCCAAATGCTCGTGAAATAAAGGGGCTTTGAAGTCTGCCCGACACTGTGAGGCCCCTTCAATACTCAGTGTGCACCATGAAGTCATGCCCATCACATCCAACAACCCGTGCAGATGACACAAGAGAAGAATCTGTTTGAAGGACCAGGATGTCATYACCAGAGGACAAAAGGAGACTATAATGACCTTCTACAATATTAAGAGCATAGCCTGTCAGCTACATGACATTCAGCCACTGCAACTGTAATCTTTCTACCCGAGAACTAGGTAATTTCAGTTCTCTAGAGGGCAGATCAGTATGAGAAGATGTTTCATTCCCACACAAAAGACATCTCCCAAACCGTTCTAGAAGACTGTGATTTGTGTATGGCAGAGGCACAATATTCATTTCATTTCCAGTCTTCTCAAAATTTTAGTGTGATTACAGTTGGTCCAACAATTTGCTAAATACAGACTATCAGATACTGTTTGTCTTTTCATTGATTCATGCAGCATTCTCWTTGTCTTTTCTTTGATTCATAAGTATTGTGCACAAAGGCTAGGCAGTTAYTGTTGTATTTATTAGTTGTCATTACTCACCAGGGAGATTATGTAAATAGGAGCTAGGAAGCCTCTGTGAATTGTTCAGTTCAACTGTTATTTAATAATTAATAATAATTTATTTATTTAATGTTTAATTGATTAATTTAATAGTAACTAAATAACTGTCAGTTATTTAATAATTATGGGGAAAGACTGACCATATCACTTACTGTGATAGTAAGTTCATGGTATGAAATTCAAGTTTCGGCAAACATAGCGAGAGTTTTGCCAGTCAATTAGAAAGTACCATGACTTCACCCACTGGTATATTCTGTTCAGTAGATAATGAAATTCAGAAGAGGAGAATAATGAACAGGAAGTAGCAGGTATCTCTGCCATGGTATGTATGATCAAACTGCACTCGACCATGTCAAATGCAAGCAAATATTGTGCATATTTTTCCCAGTAAGACACCAGTGCCAACCTT